GTGGGTCTCCAGGGGTATAGGCTTTGGTGCTTTCCCTGGTGGGCAGACCCCTGGGGATGTGGGCCCAACAAGTCCCAAATTTATTGCCAACAGTCTTAGTCCAAGTTCTTCATAAGTAGTACATGGTATTTCTGTAACACTAGGGGGATTTACTGATGTATTCTCTTCCTTAGTCCTGTTAACCCCTAACCTGGGGAAACAACCTTTTTCGGGGAGGTGGTCCTAGTTAAAACACATAGCGCTTAAGAGGGGGAGCAAACATATCTCATATATGCCAGTTCCCTTGAAACATAAGCTGTGTAGATGTTTCTTCCCTGCAGTGACTGTGTCAAGCAGCAAGGGTGGACTGGCTCCCGGCACCCTTCATGGGAACTTGATCATTTTACTTTCCCACAGACTCACCAACAGGTTATATTGTCCAGTTTGAGTTTTGGTTTAATTTGAGTTTTTTGGTCTGATAGGTGAGACATGGCTTTCGGGATAGTCTTTGCATTTCTCTTGTGAGGTGGGAGTGTAACCTGAAAGTGGTAATGTCAATACCTCAGGTACCTAGATGGGTTAGCCATCTGTATTTCTTTTTCTGTGGGCTGCTTATATCTATAGGATATTTTTTATGGGATTCTTTTTATTTTTTAAAGCTCCTGTATTAAGGCTGTTAAATACTCACCTATGATTAAGTTGCAGATTCTCTTTCAATTGGTCGTTTGTATTTCCCCCAAGTTTATGGTGATTTTGGTTTGGTTTTGTTGCAATATATAGCAGAATTCTTTTATGCAATTGAATTTATTACTCTTACTACTTAAGGATTTTGAGCTGTTAGAACAGTTTTCCTCATTTTCATGTTACTGAATTCATTCATGTTTTCTTCTAGTGTTTGTGTGATTGCCCTTTTTTAGATTTAGATCTCTGTTCTATTTGGAGTTGACCATGGTTTGCAATTTAAGAAGTAGATCTAATTTTACCTTTCTTTTCCCCATGTTATACTATTTATATCATTAACCCTGATTCTAATGTACTCAGTGTTTTGATTAACACTGATTGTCCTACTTACTTGGAAATCCTTGTTTGGGGTTATGCTGAAGAGCTTTAGTGTGCTGCTGTTTTATAAGCTGGGTGACTTAAAAGCCAGAAGGGCCACCTTTAATATGTTGCAGTTTATAAAGCACTTTTTCCTCTCTTGTTTCTTCCCCATTTTGCATATGAGGAAACCAGGTCTCAGACGAACTGGCTTGCCCAAGATCACACCATGCCACCACCTCTGTCTTCAACCAGTGCCCTGCCACCCTAGGTCTACCACTACTTCACACAAGGCTGTGGCCAAGCCATGATGCAGTCAGTGAGGGAGCATAGTTAAGTGTATGTCCTGCCTCTGCTACCTCATAGCTGTGTGACCTTGGACACCTCTTCACCCCTCTGGCCTCACTTCTGTATGTAAAGAAGAGTTTGGAAATAGATCAGTATTTGTCAAACTTTAGTAACTCTCCTCCTTTTGATAAACAGGTACCTCATGTTTCCCTGCCCCAGGATTTTCATCCCCAGGATGTGGCTGATGCCTATATATGCCCTATCAGCCAAGGTTTTATCAGGCTTTCTATTCTAAAACAACAAAGTAATATTCAATTTTCCAAATATAAATGTATAATGTTGAATGTTTTTTAAAACATAAGCTCCCCTCTCCCCATGAGAGAAATTCTCTGAAGCTATTTCCTGCTCTGAAGTTCTAATTCAAAGAACCAGGCTAGGAATCAGGGAATCTCAATTATGATTGATTGAATATATTTCTCCCAAGGGAGGGGACCATTAACATACCACTGCTCTCTCCAGCGTCCAGATGGTGTGAATTACAGAGTCCACATGCTACAAATGTGCGTCATTGATTTCTGTTCTGTCTGGGCCTGTCCTAAAAGCTTATGAATGAGTTAGATGTGCTCTCCGCACTCAAGGACCGCACAGTTCTAGTGGGGGAGGCAAACTCGGGGACAATTTGAGGTAAGTGGTGTTAGTTCCATGATAGATACTTTGGAAGCACCTCCACCATAAGGAGAGGGAAAGAGCATCCAGGAAAGCCTGGAAGAGATGGCTGACCACAAGCTGTCTCCATGGAAGAGTGGAATTAATGGGTGAAAGCAGGGACTCTGGGCTGAGGAGGAATGGTGATGGTGGTTACAACTCATTGAGGGCCTCTGATTTAGAATCTTCACACACCTCATTTAATCTTTGCAGCCATCCTTCAAGATAGCTATTTTCTTTTTACAAACCAGAAAACCAAGGGCTTAGAGTGCTAAACAGAGTACACAGCTAATGAATTCCTAATAAGAATTTAAACCAAGGTCTGACTTCAGTGCTCATTGCCTTTGTGTAAATGTTTGCAAATTTCTGCTAGGCAATCCTTTCTTACAGTGATGCCCATTCAATTGGCTCCAAGCCTTTCTCTTTTCCTGCTAGAGACCCACGAGCTAGTTTAATAGAGGCTGTCTGGCACACATCTTTGCTGTAATTAAGTCAATCATGGGAGCTGGCCCCCTGCTTTTTAGACACAGCATGGAGCAGTCCTTATTTCATCACTCCTATACTTTTATGCATGAAACAAGCTTTTACAATAGGACTTTTTTCACTCCCTTTTTAGCTGAGGTTCCCAAAACAAAACTAAAGGTGCCAAATAGTCCCGCTTTCCAAGGTGAGATGTTTACAATCTGCAGAGCTTGTACAAGAGGTGCCCAGGTTCCAGTTTGTAAGCCTTTGTTAACTATGTATTTCTAGGACAGAAGTTGAAGTTTCCTGCATGCATGGCTCATCCTTGAGAAACTAAGGCTACAGGCACTGGCTGGGGCAGTTGACCTCCAGCAAAACAGTGAGAGGTGTTTCCACAGATGCAGGAATGCACCAGTGTCTCCTCTGGACCAGATGTGGTCTATGGGAAAGGACCAGGCGTAGGTCAAGTGTTCACAGTAGAGGACTATTTGGAAGAGATAAGGGGACCCTAAACAAAAAGACTGAAGAATAGACTATCAAATACTCAGGGCTGTAGCTAATAAGTATAGTCTAAGAAATAGCATTGCCCATGTCACAAGTGTTAGAGCTAAGATTCTCAGTGATACATTTCTTTGAGAAATGTATGCTTTGAGAGAAAGAAAAAGACTTGTACTTTCTTCTTGTCCAGAGCCACACCACCAAACTACTTTTTATTATATTAAGTATAGTTGATATACAATATTGCTTCAGGTGTACAACTTAGTGAATCAACATTTATATACCACAATATAAATACCATGTAAAGTACCACAATAAGTTCAGTAACGATCTGTCACTGTACAATTGTTACAGTATTGACTATACCAGCGGTGGGCAACTTTTTTGTGAGTGCGTGCCAAAACCAGCAAAATCTCTGACTCAAAATTCTGCGTGCCAACCCTAATTTTTTGAGAACATGTTACGCCTACTTGATATCTCTTAAGGTGTACGTATGTGAAGAACCTTGAAGAAATAATAAAATTCATTCGAGCGACAGAAACACAGTATATGATGATGAAAAATACATTTATTTGAAACCAAAACACTGGTCAGATCTAGGAAGGCAGGGAGAGTTAAGGCAGAGGCATAGAAATTGCTCTTCCCCTCTCTCGTCAATCCATGTCTATGGTCTTTAAGATAACTTGTTATGTAAAATTATTTATCTAAGATGCACCTACACTGAATTTATCTGAAAAATAAGAAAGTCGATATTGAGAAAAAAATTGTAAATGGAAGATTATAAGAGAGGGTTTCGCATGCCAGCAAAAGTTACTGGCTGCCATGTTTGGCATGCGTGCCAGGGGTTGCCCACCCCTGGACTATACTATATTCCCCATGTGGTACATTACATCCTTATGACTTATAACTGCAAGTTTGTACCTCTTAATCCCCTTCACCTTTTCTGCCCCTCCCATTCCTTTGCCTCTGGCAAGTTTGTTCTCAGTGTCTATGAATCTCTGTTTTATTTGTTTGCTTGTTTTTTAGATTTCACATATAAGTGAAATCATACTGTATTTGTCTGTCTGACTTACTTCACTCAGCACAATACCCTCTAGGTCCATTCATGTTGTCACAAATGGCAAGATCTCATTTTTCAGGAAGAGTAATATTCCATTATATACTACATATATGCACATTATATATGATATATATATTTCATATATAATACATTACATCTTTATTCATTTATCTACTGGTGGATACCTAGGTTGCTTCCATATCCTGGCTAT